GTGGCTTTGACTCGACGGTGGAAATGTCCATGTGGCTGCTGCTCGTTGGTGCAATGCGAGACGTACTGAGTCATCGTGCGGCGTGAACTCCATCGCGCGGCGCTTCAATCGCAACGTGGCAAGGGTACAAAATCCAGAAACTCTCCCGACATTTCATTCAACTCACATATCTGCAGCCTGAAAATGGTCGTAAGTTCTGAATCCACCTGGCACGCAAATCTTACCGCTAGAACCCTCGTACGTGGCAACTGGCTTACTCTTCATACTGAAAGTTTAAGTTGTAACGAGAGCAGACTCAGCACCATGGCGCACAGAGCCTCGTTACAACCCCTCAGCCAGCATCGTCGCCGTAGCCTGAGAACCTACCTTCTCCTCCTCTCCCTTGTCGTCATCTCGTCTCTCCACGCCACGTTGGCCTTTCGCATTTCCGCGGGGCTCCGCGCGGACAAGCTGCGCTGAATGATGTGCGGAAAGGCGCAAGGCGGACGCTCAACTGGACAGCAGCAGCAGCAGGGCGGCGGACTTGGCGAAGGACGTATAGGAGGTGGCGGAATGAGCAACAGCGTAACAGGTGGCGGTGGAATGGGCTGCGGCGGAATGGGTGGTGGCGTAATGGGCGGTGGCGGAATGGGTGGCGGCAGAATGGGAGGCGTCGGAACGGGCGGCAGCGGAATGGGCGGCGGCGGAATGGGCGGCAGCGGAATGGGCGGGGGCGGAATGGGAGGCGGCGGAATGGGCGTCGGCGGAATGGGCGGCTGCGGAATGGTTGGCGGCGGAATGGGCGGAGGCGGAATTGGCGGAGGCGGAATGGGCGGCGGCAGAATGGGCGGCGGCAGAATGGGTGGAGGTGGAATGTGCGGCGGCGGAATGGGAGGCGGTGGAATGGGCAACAGCGGAACAGGTGGCGGTGGAATGGGTGGCGGCGGAATGGGAGGTGTCGGAACGGGCGGCGGCGGAATGGGCGGCGTCAGAATGGGCGGCGGCTGAATGGGTGGCGGCGGAATGGGCGGAGGCGGAATGGGCGGAGGCGGAATGGGCGGAGGCGGAAGGGGCGGAGGTGGAATGGGCAGAGGGGGAATGGGCGGAGACATGGGTGGTGGAACGGGAGGGCGTGGCTCGGGATCTTTTGCTCCAGGGTCGCAGGCAGCACCTGGAGGAATGGGCGGGCCTGGGGGGAGCATTGGGGGCGGCAGAATGGGTGGCAGAGGGATGGGCGGTGGAGGCATGGGTGGCGGAGGGATGGGCGGCGGAGGGATGGGTGGCGGAGGGATAGGCGGCGGAGGGATGGGCGGCAGAGGGATGGGTGGCGGAGGTATGGGCGGTGGAGGTATGGGCGGAGGAGGGATGGGCGGCATAGGCATGGGCGGAGGAGGGATGGGCGGCGGAGGGATGGGCGGTGGCGATTTGGGCAGCGGCGGAATGGGCGGCGGAGGTATGAATGGATCGGGGTCGTTTTCTCCAGGGCCGCAGGCAGCACCTGGACAGGGCGGATCTGGGATGAGTGGAGCGTTTGGAGGAAGTATGGGCGGACCCGGGGGCAGCATGAGCGGACCCGGGGGCAGCATGAGCGGACCCGGAGGCAGCATGGGCGGACCTGAGTCATCTGCTCCCGGAGCAAAAGCAGCCATGAGTCCTGGGGGGAGCATGGGCGGAGGCATGGATGGTGATATGGGCGGAGGCATGGATGGGGGCATGGGCGGAGGCATGGATCATTGAGGGGATGAGGAGAAGACACAGTGGGCGTAGTGATGTGATCATCACGTGCATCATCGCAGCGCTCGTCCCAGGACACCTTCACACACATTCATCCCTATCCTAGTTGGACTTTGGGTGCGGTAGAAGATTGGTTGCGGTATAAGCTTGGGTGGGGTAGAAGCTTGGTCGCAGCAGCACTCTTTACAATTGCTTGCAGAGTGCTGCTTCATCCAAGCTCCTGCGGACTCAGACGCGCTCTTTCCAAGTGCTGCTGCCCATCCTCCAGTTTCAGGAATTCCGTAGTTGGTTTAGGCTGTAGGATATGGAGGCTGGTACGGTGTGGTTCTGTATGTTCATTGATAATTTATGAGAGTTCGATTTCCACGTGTCTGCCATTGAACGGTGCCATGTGGAAGGGGTTGCGCTGTGCCACGACTGTTGCTCTGAACCAGGTTTGCCCTCCCTGTTTATGACTGCTGGTAGTGATGCTCAGCATTGGCAGAAAGGACGAGTGGAGTCGTTGGCATAAGTCACTCCATTTCTTCACGCTTCTCAATGGCTGTACCCCTGCTGTGCCCCTTGTTTCCCACTCAAGTGATTTCCATTGGCATCTCATCCCATGCCATTTCACTACGGATTACCACACAAGCCGAGTACAACAGGGTTTGCTAGTCGCTCCCAACTCTGGAAGACATCAACTAGCAAAGCCGAGTTCGGCATAGGCATTGCCCGCTCCTGTTCTCTACCCCCCACCCTTACCTCCACCGCCCTTCACCTCCTCCCTTTTCCGCGCTCTCCTCACACCCCTCCCTCCGACCCACTTGTTTCTTCCTCAACTTCCTCCTCCTCATCTACCCTTCATGTGGTTGCCAGTCACAAGAGCAGGGGCCAGCTGTCAACGGAACATCCATGCCGTGGCAGTATGTCCAGCAGGGATGGTGATATCTGACACAGCACCTCACACCCCGCCCTCAGGGACTCTCCTTGCTTGCACTTCCTTGACTTCCCAGCCTCGGTTCGCTTGAGCGAAGAGGGATATTGTCAGTGGCTTGTCAGCTGCTCACACCCCGCCTTCAGAACCACCCTGCCCAATTTCAGTCTTCCTTAGAGCACCCCCGCCTTGCCAGCCCTCACTTTTACGTCTCGGGCTCCTTTCGCTCGGAAGACGAGGGCAGTTATCAACAGAGCGCGAATACAGAGTCCGCATGGCTAGCAGGGATGGCGAGCACTGCCTTCGCACTTTTTGGGAATTCTTTTAAAAAAAAAAAAAAAAAAAAAAAAAGCCCTCCTCCATGCCCACTCCTCAGAGACTCTCCTTACTTTCCCCTCCTCTAAATTTCAGCATCGGTTCGCTTGAGAGCAGAGGGCAGTTGTAAAGTGAGCATGCTTACAGCGTTGGTGCCTCCTCAGCGGCTCGCACCCCTCCTTAGGCACCACACTCTTGCTCAAGCTCCGTTTGGTCAATCCCCTCCTTCCTCTTGCGGCCCTTGGTGCGATTGTCAGTCACGAGTGCCGAGGGCGGTTGTCAACCGCACAGCCATGCAATGTTGGCATGACCAGCAGAGATGGCGGCAGCTCACTCAGCTGCTCACAGGCCTCCCTGTTTGCCCTCCCTTAAAGTCACAGCCAAGGAATCTTGAAGACTGGATAGCCTTGGACACCCACCAACATTTGGGCTCCGAGGCACTTTTTGCTGCCCGCACAACTGTGCAAAAGGTCAAGATCATTCAGCAGCAGCGAAGTGAGGAGCGAAAGCCCTCCACAGGTTTCTGGCAGCGCTATTATGCTCCTGACGTTGAGGATTGCAAGGGCTTGCAGATGTGGCACGACGAGAAATGGAGTCAGAGAGTGAAATCAGTGCATCCATTTCCGAAACTTGCAGCTCTGTCATTCCAAATACGCGACCAACCGACGGGCTGAGGGTTTCAAGGGGAAGATTGTTGATCAGAGAATCTGCAGGGACGGAAGAAGCATCCCTTCAAGGCTCAGCTCAAAACTGCTGCTGCTGCTGCTGCTGCTGCTGCTGCTGCTGCTGCTGCTGCTGCTGCTGCTGCCGTTGCCATCCAAGCTACACCTAATGCTACTTTTGCTCGTCTGCTGGTCCGCGGCTTCCTCCTCTTCATCCCCCAGACCCTGAGACCCCACACGCTCCCACCTCCACCACCCGCAGTTGCGGCAGCAAAGCCAGAGACGAGGAAGAGACTGCAGGCCGTTCAGATCTGAGATCTTCGGCTGCTGCAGTCGTCCGCACCTGGCAACTCTCAGCACCTGCAGCAGCAGCAGATGGCCAAAGGATGCCGGCAGGCGCATGAGCTGGGGAAGGCTGGCCAGGCCGAGGGACCGCAGAGCAGTGAGCTGGCGAGGCAGGTCGTGAGGGAGGGAGAGGACAGCTGGGAAGGCAGTGAGGGAGAGCTACTGGAGGGCAGCGACCCGAGTGATGGAATGAGGGGCTGCCCGATAAAGTGTTACAAACTGCTCGATATCATTGCGCAGCGTTGCAAGACTTGGGACAACCGGGTTGAGGGTCGTAAGTGAAGGTAGACGGGGGTAGGGACCTGGGCAGAGATGATAAAATTTCGGGGCCGTAAGGCCCTTTTCGGTGAAGCCCTTGGCGTATGTCATCTGGGAGATGTGAAGCCCTTGGCGCGGTCGATCTGAAGTCGAACCAGATTACGACAAGCGGGCCACGAGGGAGTGCAACGAGTCCGGGACGTGGCTCAGGCTGCCATCAGACGGAGCGAGCTTTCTGGGGTTTGAGAGCAGCGGCAGCTGCACGGCCAGCTGGGGAGGAACCACGCGGCGGCCCTCGCGTAGAAGGATGTGGTCCTGCGCGCCGCAATCGAGGCGACGCTATTGCTGCAGACGAACGCGGGCTCGAGCCGGCCGTCGGAACGAGCGACGCGATGCAGGATGTGGGAGAGCAGATCGTCCGTTAGACGCTGGATCGGCGACGCGTGTGGCACCGTGGGAGGAGCTGGAAGCAATTTGAAAGACACTAGCCAGGTTGATGATTCTCGGCTTATGGCGCGCGCCCTCAGATTATACGCAGTTGATTCCTCCTTACATATCACCTACTCTGCCCTGCTAGACCAACGATATACCTATCCCGCAAATCGGTGATACGAGGAGAAGGATAGATGGGATTCCTCACTGATCCAGCCTGCAGTCAATTCACAGTTCTCAAGTTCGCAACCTAAGCTCAAGGTTCACGCACATGATGGAGAGGAACTGAAATTGGGGTGTGGAAGCAATGAGGTTCCCGTTCGTTCTAGAGCGATAAGAAAGCTGAAAGATACGGTTGAGTAGGGAATTTGCAGAAAAAATGTGCCTTGAGCATGAGGAGTTCAGCAGGAGAACAAGCGGTTCAGGGTTTTGAATGAGAGACGTCTCGTTTGGATGCCTACTTTGCCCTGGTCTTGTGCTTGCTCAATCACATGCAAGCAGCCCTAGAATCCAGCAGTACAGAATCTCAAGAAGCTTCATCCTCCAAACTCGTTTTGCATTTGTGCTTCAAACTAGAACCAAAAGGTGTCCATCGCCACCCAATATCCCCTGCTGCCTGAACGTAACTTTCCTTCTAGCTAGCCTGCACACTCTGTGGGGAGTATGTTGAAATCAGCACCAGATCCTTGACCTTGGTGGAATACTCCAGCATAGTCTCCCTCTTTTCAGTCACAAACTCCGAGCTCTTCTCCATGAATTCGAGATAATCAGGAGACCCCGGATAGACGATGTTATCAGCCACAATGATAGTTCCTGGTCCGATGAGCTTCTGGTCTCTGAGAAAAAAGAGGTCTGGCAGGTAGAGGTGCTTCACGTGATCGATGAAGACTAGATCGAATGGAACCTTGCTCGCACCTTGCCGAATTTCATCTGTTGAAGTCTGCAGCGTGCCTGTAACGACAGTAACTTTGTCGCTGAGGCCTGCGTGAGCGACGACGCTGCGGACGACGGACGAACGGAGGTCGCTCAGCTCCACCGACACCAACCGAGCTCCCGGCTTCGAAAAGCGCGAAGCGATTCGAACCGCCGAGTACCCGCAGAACGCGCCGAGCTCGAGTGCGCTGAGGGGATTCGCGCGACGGACGGCGTCGTCTAAAATTGCACCTTTCACGTCGCCGACGTTCATGAAAAACTCCGGGCTGGACCACGCGTAGGAATCGATGGCGCTAATCACTGCTTGCGGGTCGTTCGCGGGGACTGTTTGGGTGATGTGCTCCAGAAGCCGAGCCTCCTGCCCGTCTGACTCCTGCCCCACCATCCTTTCCTCCTCGCGATTCACATAGGCTCCCTCAGGCATGGTAGACAACTATATATGTAGGCAAAAGAATTACGGGGGGGGAAACGGAGAGCGGCACCCTGGAGGATGCAGCAGGGGTTGCCTCGCAGCTTCGCGTCTAACGCCTTCGAGAAGCAACTAAGACGAGACGGGTCAAAGAGAACGTTGACGTCATGCAAGCGAACGAGCGAGACTAGCGGGAAGCGGCGTCAGAGCGGGCTGATGAGGGACTGGGAAAATGGGGGGGGGGGGGGAAGGAAGGGAGGGAGGGAGGGAGCAGGGGGCAACCAGAGTCCGTGCAGAAAGGCAAATGCTCACCTCCTTGGAACCAAGTGAGAATGTCCAGGATGCACCGTATGCGGTGTTGTATGGTGCAACGAGCTGGAAACCGGTTTTCACGATTCACCGCTTTGTAACCTTAGGTACCAGTTTCGACCGTGTAAAACGTATGGGCGACGTCCTCATAAGGTTACGGATGTTTGCTGCCCGGTCCAGTTATAGCGTGACGTTTCGCTGCCCGAGTAGACGCATTTGTGGCTGGCAGGAAACCCAAGCTCACTGACGTGGCAATCAGGGGACAGCAAAAAGAGGTGGTCTTGTGGCCTCCAACGCGCGTTGTCATCCCTCAATTGTCCCCCCGTGGTCAACAGACCAATCGTCACACAGGCTCCCCGAAGCTTGCTCCCAACTTTTTGCCAGCTGGGGGCCAACAGACCAATCCCATCACGCAAGGGCCACACCAAGAGCGCCAAGCGGCAACAATGCCATTCAGGAGTAACGAAGACTAGCCGTGCAGAACCGGCCATGCGAAAACAACCGTGCGGAATTCCCAAGGCGAAGCAGCTATGCACCAGCCGTGCGAAACTAGCCATGCGAAATTCCCAAGGATAAGCGGTCTGAACCTTCAACGTATGAAGCTGGTCTATGATGAGTACAAAATCGCAGCCTTCTTCACGTGAGTCCTGCGAGCAGCCCAGCCAACATGCCATGCCAGCAATTTCTTTCTGACTATCCATAGACACTTTATTTCCGCACTGATTTTCCGGCAAGATTTGCTTGAATTGAGGTTTGATCCCACGGACAGACGAACACCGCTCTGTGACGGAAATGGCGTCAATATGTGCGTCCCCGCCATTATCCGCTAATGCAATCTCGCGAACCATCACCGTAGCCTCCCATTCCAGGTCAGCAAAATGTTCATCTCCCTCTTTCAATCGCCGAATCCCATTGGCCTCCCTGCGGTCTTTCGCGACCTCATTCTCCGCTCGCCATGCGACGTCTCCAAGTCACCTAAGACTGAGCGACAGTACAGGATGCGGAATAGGCCGGCATTTCTCGCACCGAGCTCCCGATAGAAGGGGTGTGACTATAGTGAGGTCCCAGGAGGGTCGCAGCTACTCGCACCCGAAGTACAACTGGCGCTCGCGACGGAGATCCGACGGCGAGGATCTGACGAGCACGCGATTCCCGCGTGACGCGCCGAATGGTCGGCGAGAGGCGGGAAGCGGCGGAGAGTCGAGCGGGCACAGTCCCGGGTGGGGGTCGCCCGTGTGGCAGGCGGACAGCAGCAGTGGCGAGGAGGAGTCGGCTGGAATAGGCGCGATCGCTAAGGGGGATGCCACGAGAAAATCGTCGATTTCGCATATCCTTACACCTGATGGGAAGGCCTTTAGGTGAGCCGCGTTTGCATCACGCAGGCTCTTGCGATCTGGTCGCCTTGTCCTGTCACATCGAGCAGGTGATGTGAAGCGGCTGGAACTGGGAAGATTTTATTTTCTTCTCTTTTCTTTTCTTTTTCGGGTCAATGTGGATTCGAACATGGCAGGAGGAAAAGCCATCGCAGTCCTGGCGGGATCTGGTCGGTCCTCGTGCGATTAGGTTCTGCTGGGGTCATGGATGGGCTTGTAGGGTCATGGATGGGCTTGTAGGGTCATGGATGGGCTTGTAGGGTCATGGATGGGCTTGTAGGGTCATGGATGGGCTTGTAGGGTCATGGATGGGCTTGTAGGGTCATGGATGGGCTTGTAGGGTCATGGATGGGCTTGTAGGGTCATGGATGGGCTTGTCGAGTCGTCAGTAGCCACAACATGGATCGTTCTTCCAGACACACGCATTCTGACGCACGCTCTCTCGTGACGCATCCCAGATGTGTACATACTGTCTCCCTCCCCCCCCACCTCCTCCCCCCCCCCCCATTACTAACCCGCACACGCACACGGCAGGCCGCATCGCATTATTCTGGTGCGACATGGGCAGAGCGAGGGCAATGTGGACGAGGCGGCGTACACGCGCATTCCCGACTCCAAGATCGCCCTCACCAGGAAGGTAGGAGTGAGCGGCCATATCTCACATCCCGCATTGCCCTTATTCATAGGACAAAACTAGCTCTCGCTGGATTAGGGGAAAAACGGATCTTGGTAATGAAAAAGGATCCAAGCGCATGAGCCATGTGCTTAAAGCCTTTCGAGTACCGAGGGGTTGTTGTAAATGTTGATATTCTGCTGTCAAACTGTTCATCCCAAGCTATGGTGTTTTCTGTGCGCAGGGCAGGGAGCAGGCGGTGGAGCAGTTCCGTCTCATGCATTCACATTCTCATCTGACTTGTTCGGATTCTTCCCGATGGCCCTCCTCTCCTCGTCCTTGTGTTTCTGTGTGCACGGCTGGGAGCAGGCGGTGGAGAGGGGGAAAGGATAAGGGAGATGACGGAGAGCATCCTCAGCCTCGCATTCGACGTTTCTGCCTTCACTATGAGCACCCACCCAGCCTCACTGCTGGCCTTCCTTTCTCCCTGTGTGTGCAGGGATGGGAGCAGGCGGTGGAGAGGGGGAGGAAGATAAGGGAGATGATAGAGGCGGACGGGGAGGACGACTTCAAGGTCTACTTCTACGTCTCGCCCTACACCCGCACGCTGCAGGTGCCACCTCTCCCTGCCCTACACCCGCACGCTGCAGGTATTGCCTCCCCTGTCTGTACACTCGCACACTCCAGGTACCACCTTTCCTTGCTTCCAAAAGATCGTTGTGCTTCGCTTGGCCCATCGTGACTTTTGATTCGACTAAAGAGATTCACTCGGCCCGTCTCCTTGTCAATGGCATTCCCATGTCAGCACGAATGACTCCACCGTAGCCATGCACATAGCATAGTCCTTTGAAGGACTCCACTGTAGCCACCCCAGCCATAACGCAAGCTCACTTTGTCATCATGGCTAGCCAGCAACACTCCCGTTCACAGTTCATCCATCCCCTCTCATCCTCACCCTCTTCTCTCCTCCTCTCCTCCCCTCTCCCTCAGACTCTCCGGGGAGTGGGTTTGGCGTTTGAGAGGGAGAGGATTGCAGGGGTGAGGGAGGAGCCGCGCATTCGAGAGCAAGATTTCGGTACACGCTTTGCCCTAACCCCCGCTCATTCTCCTAAACTTTCCCCCTGCTCGCTGCCTCATCCCTCCCTCCCTCCCTCTCTTCTCTTCTCCCCTACTCTCTCCTTCTCCCCCTATCCCTCGCGTCCCGCCCTGCTGACTCATACCCACCCACTGTGTGCCTCCTGTTTTCTCTGATACTCGTGACTGCTAATGATCTCTCCTTCCAGGAAACTTCCAGGACCGGGAGAAGATGAGGAGGGAGAAGAAGGTGCGGTTGAGCTACGGCCGATTCTTCTACCGCTTCCCTGATGGGGAATCGGCAGCAGACGTGTACGACCGTGTAACAGGTAATGATTCTCGTGTGGTTGAGTAACCGCATGACAGGTAATGATCCTCTTGTCTTGTGAGCGAGTGAGCTTGTCATTCCCTCTAAAAGTGGAAGGGGAACGTACATGTCATTCCTTCACATTCCTTCACATTCCTTTCCATGGCAGGCTTCCGTGAGACGCTGCGGGCGGACATAGACGTGGGGCGGTTTCAACGGGAGGAAGCAGATGCACGCGCGCACCTGGTGCAGATGTCGCACGGACTGGCTCTCCGAGTGTTTCTCAAGCCTGCAGTCCGTGTGTGCGCTGCTTACCTGTGTGGCAGGCTTTCGTGAGACCCTCAGAGCCGACATAGACGTGGGCAGGTTCCAGCGGGAGGAGGCGGCAGCGCGCAACATGAACTTGGTGCTGGTGTCGCACGGGCTCACCCTGAGGGTGTTCCTCATGCGCTGGTACAAGTGGACTGTGGAGCAGTTCGAGGGGCTCTACAACTTCCCCAATGCCGGCGCCATGGTCATGCAGCTGGGGCCGGGAGGCAGGTACTGTTTCTCAAGGTGCCTGGTTTCATTTCCATGGTTCAGTATCAAATGATAGCAGGATGTATGCCCTGGAGCAATAGCCTGTGGAGCAGTTCGAGGGGCTCTATAACTTCCCCCAATGCCGGCGCCATGGTCATGCAGCTGGGGCCGGGAGGCAGGTACTGTTTCTTAAGGTGCCTGGTTTCATTTCCATGGTTCAGTATCAAATGATAGCAGGATGTATGCCCTGGAGCAATAGCCTGTGGAGCAGTTCGAGGGGCTCTATAACTTCCCCCAATGCCGCCGCCATGGTCATGCAGCTGGGGCCGGGAGGCAGGTACTGTTTCTTAAGGTGCCTGGTTTCATTTCCATGGTTCAGTATCAAATGATAGCAGGATGTATGCCCTGGAGCAATAGCCTGTGGAGCAGTTCGAGGGGCTCTATAACTTCCCCCAATGCCGGCGCCATGGTCATGCAGCTGGGGCCGGGAGGCAGGTACTGTTTCTTAAGGTGCCTGGTTTCATTTCCATGGTTCAGTATCAAATGATAGCAGGATGTATGCCCTAGAGCAATAGCCTGTGGAGCAGTTCGAGGGGCTCTATAACTTCCCCCAATGCCGGCGCCATGGTCATGCAGCTGGGGCCGGGAGGCAGGTGAGACTCCTTTATCGGGGTGCGGAAATAGGCAATGGTCAGTGGACGGCGGAGCATTTCGATGGGCTTTGTAACGTCATCAATGCCGGCGCCATCGTCATTCAGTTGGGGCTGAGGGGTGGGTGGGTTAACTGCTGGGGGCAGGGGGCATGTCCGACGAGCCGGCATGCAGATCTCACATGTGGTTGGGCAGAGAAGGGGAGCAGCGCAGATGGGGGGAAGGGGACAAGGGGTGGCATGGCGCTGTCTCTGAGGGTGTTTCTCATGTGGTGGTACAAGAGAAATGTGGAGGCGTTTAAGGGGCTGTTTAACCCCCCAATGCTGGTGCCGTGGTCATGCGGCTGCGGCCAGGAGGCAGGTGAGACTACTCCATTCGGCGGCACACGTCAGGCAATGGTCTGAGGCGGCACACGTCAGGCAATGGTCTGAGGCGGCACACGTCAGGTAATGGTCTGAGGCGGCACACGTCAGGCAATGGTCTGAGGCGGCACACGTCAGGTAATGGTCTGAGGCGGCACACGTCAGGCAATGGTCTGAGGCGGCACACGTCAGGCAATGGTCTGAGGCGGCACACGTCAGGCAATGGTCTGAGGCGGCACACGTCAGGCAATGGTCTGAGGCGGCACACGTCAGGCAATGGTCTGAGGCGGCACACGTCAGGCAATGGTCTGAGGCGGCACACGTCAGGTAATGGTCTTAGGAGGGTGGAGCAGTTCGAGGAGCTCCTTTACTTCCTCAACGCTGGGAGGAGGGGAGGCGGGACAAGTGAAAGAGACAGAGGGCAGGAGTGATTAAGCGAATGGAAGGGAAAATGTGATGTCAGCAAAGGATGAAATGCGAGCACGAGAAGTGAGTGTGGATAACAGTCGTTGGATTTATCAAAGCTGTATGAAGCGTTGGTCGTTGGGTATTGCATGAGCGGTCTGGGAAGTGGTGTGTCGGCAGTAGCAAGGTTTTCACCAAGGGACCATACCGACCATAGTGAGAACGCTGCTTCTGCCAACACACCCGCTCATTAACCCACTCATGCAACAGCAGTTATCATCGGTTACACATCAGTGCCCTCATTCAACCACTAACATGCACCCTCATTTTTTGTCTTGAATTTATCCCTCACTGTTGTTGTATTCCTCTCTACCATTCGCATACTCACTCCCTGTTCTTCCACCTGTCTCCCTATCCCTCTCGCCCTTTTACTGCCTCCGATCCCTTCCATCTCCTCTCGAGCCCGTGCATCAAAATCAAGTGGATTTTTATAGAAATCTCTAAGTACCTTCCATCTCCTCTCCTGCACGTGCATCAAAGTCCAGTGGAATGCCTCCTCTCGCCCTGTCCCGCCTTCCCCACCCCCGCCACCGCGTCGCAGGTACAGCCTGCGCATGCATCACAGCCGGGAGGAGCTGAGGGCCTTTGGGATGACAGAGAGCATGATCGACGACCAGGAGTGGTGAGTCGTTGAGGGCATACTTCGAGGGCTGATCACCTCACAAGACGAAATGTAACAGCAAGGCATGGGGATGTCATAACTTTCTAATGGATGTTAGGCTCGTTCTACTCATCTTGTTTTCCTTCTCCATGCATTTGCTGCCCATTCCACAGCCTGCGGGGATACTTGAAGCCCCGTGCCGCCTTGCATCTGAGGTCAAAGTTTTCTACCCTTTGCACTGCCCTTCCATATTTGGCAAATCCGATTGTGCTGGATGGGAAGGCCAACTGTACTGTATTGGCTGCCCCTTTTACTGCCCACTATCCCACCAGGCAAATCACAACCAAACGGGGGGACGTGAACCCTTGCTGGTTCATCTCTGGGGCAATCCTTTCATGCGTTTTTTTTACCGCCCGTTGAACTGCTTGCTGTCCGATCAGGCGAATCACAGCATAGCCAGGAGACTTAGATTCCTGCTGGGTCACATCAGGGGCAGGCTTCTTCGACCACTTGGACGAGTGTGAGGCGTGCTGCAATCAGCACATCCACCACTCTGTTGCCCGCTCCTCTGCTCTTTTGCCCCCCGCCCCAACAGGCAAATCACAGCCAAGCCAGGGGATCTGAACCCCTGCTGGCTCACATCCGGGGCCGGCTTCTTCGACCACTTTGACGAGAGCGAAGCGTGCGGCATTCAGCGCGACTACATGTGCAAAGGGATATCAGAGCTATGCGACGAGGAATTCGGGGAGGGCGTATATCGCAATCATTAACATCCAAAAGGCCTGAGGCCTAGGTGGAACAGGTTTGAACTGCAATTCGCTCTTGCTGCTGTCCTAAGAAAAGGGCCAAGTGCTATATTGCGTTCCGGTGAAGTACACGACACTGCCTTCCAGCACATTATTTGATGTTTCATGTTGATTAATTTTGTACATAGATCGTTCAATGACCCCAAGCTGGAGCAAGCTGCTGGAGAATACTGGATTTGTTTTAGTGTTGAGGTTTGGGCAATCATGGTGGTACTATCGTACTAAATGCTACATCTTTTAGTTTGCTAGTGTGACACATTTAGGCTATTTTATGGTGGTGTAGTCCTAAGTGAACAGCTACACTCATGCGGAGGTGGGTGCGAGGTAGTAGCGTGAAGCAGTGCAGAACCCCAGCAGCACATTTATTCGGAACAATCTCATTCAAGATTGTCAACGGGGGAGGCAGGAATGGCTTCCAGCAACCAGCTAACAACACGTGGCAAACCCAGAATCGTCCTGCCGACGTCGTGAGTGCTCGCACCTCGCCATGCCTCGCCATGCCTGGAATTATCTTTTCGGGTCACACGACCTGACGGGACAGACATTGTTCCAAGGGGAAACATTTTTCGTTGAGCCTATCGCGTTGGCTCATTGTTCTTGGAATCATTCTGCCCGTGCAAGTCAGGGACTCAGGGCCATGATCATGGCCCGTGCAAGTTCTGTGGTTTGACGGAACGAAACGTTTACCATCACAAGAATTCCCCCCTCCACCAGTTCTTGACTCGCGATGAGATGACGGAATGGAATGAAATCGATGGATGACCGTCGGCTTCACTTCTGCGAATCAGCCCTCCACTTCTCGATGTCGTCGCAGGCAGGGGAGCAGAAGTGAACCTTCCGCCGCTGCGCGTGCCGAAGCGCGTCGCGATATGAGGAATTCCCGACTCGATGATGGCGCCCCGAAGCAGCTACTTCGTGAGTACATAATCTCTCCGCTTCTTTCCCAGAGTCGTCGTTTTCTTCAACTTCTAAAGTTCTATCTCTTGAATCTCCTGAAACGTTCTCAGCCGCTTCCTTAGTAGCAAACTCCAAGCTCCTGCTCTCAAAATTTCCTGCTTTCCTCTCGCTTGTTTCCGTTCCTCTTTGCGGTCGGCCATGGCCCTCACGTCCAACCTCAACTCTCGGCTACACCTCTCATTCTTCCTCCTAGCCGCTGTCCTCACCGTGACTCCCGGCGCCAGCGCCACCTACACCGCCACCTACAGCGAGGGAATCAACTACGGAGGCGGAGCATGCAACTACGAGGGCGACTTCAGCAACAGCCCCTTTTTCGACGACGGAATGACTGCGTACGTGCCTCAGGCGAAGTACAGAGGCGGAAAAGCGTGCGGCACGTGCTACGAGATCGCATGCAAAAACAGCCCCAGCTGCAGGCGCAGCAGCGTGGCTGTCCGAGCGGTCGGGCAGCAGGGCGGCGATAATTTTCTCCTATCTGACGACGCATGGGACGAGATAGTCCGCGACCGGTCCGCGGGCCGTGTGGAGATTAAGTACCGCAGCGTGGCGTGCCCTAGGAATGGGGGAATCGCGGTTAAGATCATGCCGGGGAGCAACGCGTATTGGTTCGCAGTTCAGGTGCTGGGAGCCGCAAAGGCCGGGGCAGTGGAGGCGGTGGAATTGTCGAAGGACGGTGGGAGGAGGTGGGCGAGCATGAGCGTGCTGGGAGAGAGTGCCACGTGGGTCATGAATCCTGCCAAGGAGATTGTGGACGCGGGGAGGAAGGTGAGCGTGCGTGTGACGGCGGTGGGGAACGGCAAGCAGGTGGTGCTGCGGAATGTCATACCTGTCGGGTGGAGTGCCGCACAGACCTACGAGAGCAGTGCCAACTTTTAACCGGGTACCTTCCAAGACTATGGTCCAGAATCTGGTTTTGGCCTGAGGATTGAGTGGTTACGGAAGCGATACGCTATTAATTGCTTCTCCTATCGTTTGCGCTTTGTCTCAGTAGTAGTACGGTACGTTTTCCTTACAGCTCCTTGCTCTTGGATGTACCTTTCCATAGTGAACAACAGTATTCTGAAGCACCTTCTACCATGCACAACCCTCTCAGAGGAAAACGGAGATGCAGAGCCGGGAAACCACTGCCAGCCATTGTTCCATCATGCGCCGCATTGCCAGTCACTGCTGCCTTTCCGCTGCTAGGCCCGTTGTCATGAGGCCACTTTATGCGAGAGACAGAGGGATGGCCCCGAGTCTAGACAAGCTGAGGCGAGGAGATTGAGGAGACTATGCCTGTGAGACCGCCATAAGGATGCACCTACATGGGCAGGAAGCTGCTTAGCTGCTTCCACAACAAGGGCCAAATGAGCCGAGCACACCCACTGGCCGTTCACACTCCTCTCACTGCAGCTGTATTTTCTCCTAGCTGTCACTCGTGCGAGACAGCAACAGCAATGTGCCAGCAAAGGAGGCTGTAGCCACTCCTACTGCCGGTTCACACTCCCTTTCGCTGCTCCAGTAGGTGCTGCTGCCGCTGGCTGCCACTCGTGTGAGACAGCAAGAGCGATGCACCAGCAAAGGAGGTTGTCTGCACGGCAAGGGCAGGACGAGCTGAGGACACCTAATGGCTGCACGTTCTGCTCCCACTGCTGCTGCTGCTGCTGCTGTCGTTGGTGCTAGTTGGCAGTCTTGCGTGACAGCAGCAGCGACGTGCCAGCAAAGGAGGCTGTGCCCACTGCGAGAGCAATGAGAGCTGAGGACACCCACTGGCCCTTCACACTGTTCCCACCGCTCCCACTGCTGCTGCTGGTGCTGTAGTTGTTGCTGCTGAGGCAAGCAAACGAGAAGGCTGCACGCCAGTACGAGGTGCGAGGTGGAGATGAAGGGCGCTGGGCCTCTTGCAGTAGAGTGCAGAGCGACTGGATCTGCAGACGTGGAATGGACGAATGTTGAAGGGAAGGGAAGGGGAAGGGAAGGGGAAGGGAAGGGAAGGGAAGGGAAGGGAAGGGAAGGGCAGGGCAGGGAAGGGCAGGGCAGGGAAGGGCAGGGCAGGGAAGGGCAGGGCAGGGAAGGGCAGGGCAGGGAAGGGAAATGGAGGAAAAGGGAGGACAGGTATCACAAGTGACAAAGAGGAAAGAAGCCAAGCAGAATCCTACACAAGCAAGAAAGTACACGTTCAGAGCAGAGCAGGTGTTGTGACAGGTAGCGATGGGAAGCACAATGGCTTACAGCAAACCGATCCAACATGGCGTTACCACATGCCAAGTTGACAGAGATGATTACAAGAGGGGCATACAGCAGAAAGGGCGAGCACACAACTCAACTGAGAGAGAGAGAGAGGATGGTGAGATGAATGCAGCACTATGGCGTGGTACAGTCAACTAGAAGTTGCCAAGTGCACATACGTTTGCTCTTTAATATACGTATGCCACGGGTAATGCGAACTGTATGGAAAAAGTACAGTCAACAGTGCTGTACAATCCAACGTGTGTACTGCCTAGAATGCACACAATCGATCCTCACCCCACCACCTCAGCTTCACCGCGTGTGTCATCGGCCTCTGCTGCCACCCCATTCACCTCCATCTACACTCCTCTCTGTCCAATGCATGCACCCATCACTGCATGCACCCATCAATGCATGCACCCATCACTGCATGCACCCATCACTGCATGCCCTCACCTCGTGCGTCATCAGCCTCTGCTGCTCTGCCGCTGCACTCACGTCCCTGTGCAGTCCGCCCACTCCACTGCGGAACGGTGACAGACAGGTGCTTTGTGGGGTGAATTTTGAGTCGACTAAAAACTCTCACCTCGAGGGCCATCAGCCTCTGCTGCTCTGCCACCGCACTCACGTCCCTCTGCAGCCCATCCTCTCCACCCCCAAAACCCCTCGGGGTCACAGGTGATCTGCAATTGGCGTTGCTTTTCGCGCTGGTGGCAGGTGGATTGCTGTTGGCGCTGCCTGCCATGTTGCTGCCATGGGCAGTGGATGTCTGAATGTTCTGGTCCATGCGCAGTAGCAGCCGGTCGATCTGGTCGGCGATCGTCGTCAGCTTGTGCTCCACGGATTGGTTGCTGCACAGCTGACAAAGGGGAAAGGGGGAGTAAGAAGGGCAGACGAGGGTGGATAAAGTGATCAAGGGAGAAGGGCGAGTAAGAGGGGCGGAAGAGGGTGGATACAGTGATTAAGAGGAAAGGATCGACAGCAATAAGGGGGAGAAAGTGAGGTGGAAGGGGTGGGATGAAGTGGTTGGGGGGAAAGGAGGATACACGAGTAACCTAGCCCTGAGCAAGCCAGCAGAACACTGTGAGAGCATGTAGCACAACAGGGTAGTATGGCATGGGGAGGGAGAGGGAAGGGGGGAGGGGAGGAGCAGCATGGGAAGCACATGGCATTGTGGTGCGTTTCATAGGGCTTCACCGCGGTGGTGCACTTGTCAGCACACTCCAAGATAATGACACTCAAAGCACACTCCAAGATGATGACACTCAAAGCACACTCC